CGTGTGATTTTTTCACCATTGTGTTCACCGTTCTATTTTCAACAGGTTGATCGAAAAAAAACACTCAGCCGCGAAGGTGAACCAACGGAGCCGCCATACCAAAAAATCTCGTCGCCGGTAGGTTTTTGTTTTTTTGACTTTTTTCAGCCAACCGAGACCCCCTAACATGTTTTCTCGCAGGGATGAATATAAAACCGACTGAAACCAGCCAAAACTTGCCAAAAACGGCCAGGCCAAGGCAAACCACCGCCGCAAGCAGCAGTGTTGTCGTAGAAGCACGGCGATGCTGCCGTGCCAGAATTTTGAAATTGGTCAGAAAAAATTTTTAACACCGATTTTGAATTTTTTGGGATATTTTTAGGTACGTGAAGCATGTTTTAATCTCTGCAGGAAAATTCAAAAAACTCGAGAACCGCTAGTAGGCGCAGTAAAAAGTTTGGTGTTTCGTATACTGATTTAGGTAAAAATCTCTCACCTTATTCTCTGTTATAGAATTGAAACTTAATAATCGATAATATAATATTTTGTGTAATTTAAAAAATTTTTATAATAATTTTAGGTTACCAATGGAGGCGAAAACCGGTTAGTCATTTATTTATTATCCTATTTAACTGATAGTTGAATTTACAACTTTAAATACATGATGATATACTGGAATTGTTAATTGATTCAATTGTACTTCCTTAATATATATATATATATATATTACTTGTCTTGCGTGATTTACGGTTACTTTATAAAATTAATAATTAATATACAAACGAAAAATTGATTGGTTATGTGAAACAATGAATGGTAGCTCTATTAGATATCCTGATAGATGGTGGACGGACCAGGTACATAGGGAACCCTACCGTGAACGTTGCCTCATACCAGACGGAGTATGAGGACAGTCCGATTCACCCTCATACCGAACAAGGTATTGAGTGATGATATTTTTGACACTCATATCGGACGGGGTATGGGGATGACTGGTTAGTTGACAATGTTGAATATTGGTTCACGTGTAGTGAGACATCTTTATGGGCTTCTAGGAATACCAGTAGCCAAATAAAAAGGGAAAATGGTTATTATTGCTCATTTGAAAATGAGATTGAAATGTTATTTGAATTATTGTATCTCTATAGGTCGATTTTAGAAATCTCGCAATAGTAAATATATGCAATAAATAGTTTTTACGTATGATAAATGAATTTACTTAAATAAAGAGCTCAATTAGTTGTTTTTATAATTTTTACTAACCTTTAGTTTCTATATCGGTGAGTAGTGTGATATTCTTACTGGGTTAATGTAGCTCACCCTTTCATTAACTATTTCATATCAAAAGGACCAAGACCCAGATCTCGATCAACAAGAGAGTCGTGAATAGTTCACCACCTTGACTCCCTTCAAAGACTAGTGAAGGTCATCCTAGAATACTCAGTTATTAGCTTTTTATTTATTTTCTTGATTTTCGTAATTTCTTTTAGAATAACCATTCCTGTAACCCTATTGGACGTTCTAAATTATTGTGTAAGGAATGTAAACCCTAAATTCTGTTATTTTGCTTTCGCATTTAATTTATAACTTTATTTCTTTTTAAGTTACAGGCCTTTACAATTGATATCAGAGCTGCATTCCTCAGAACCATTCCTTATAAAAAAACCTTAGGAAATACCAAAAAAATGAATTATCACTCAAACATTCATTGTGAAATGTAGGTACAGATAAATGAGGAGAGGACGACCCCCACTAAATCGAGCAGCTCTAGAAGGTTTGCTTCGAGATGATGTTGATCGCCTATTTGTAATGCTGAAGAGACTCGTCACTGCCCAGCAAACATGAGAGGAAAGGAGGGAGCTACCTGACTTTCCTCCGCTGCCATAGTTTGAGCCACCCCTACAGTTGGAGGATCTTGAGCCACCCCAGTACGACCCTGCTTCTCTACAGTACCATCCGGCACCACTACAGTATGGTCCGGTGTCCCAACTGCATCACCAGTACCACCATGGTATAGTCTGATGCCCCAACCGCATCACTCGACATCATCACAGTATAATCTAGTGCCTCCACCGTATCATCCAGTACCACCACATGGCTATCCGGTCCCTCTCTAGCATAATCCGGTCCCTCTTCCACAGGACCCAGTTCCACCCATGATTGACCCAGGCTACATTGAGATGTACAAAAGATTAAACCCATCTACTTTTGCAAGAACATCCTCATGTGAAGAGACTGAGTACTAGTTAGCTGAGATAGAGAAGGATTTCATGACTCTTGGAGTGGTTCCTGAACAGAGAGTTATACTCGCCACCTACATGCTGGTGGGAGAAGTAGGTCGCTGGTGGCAACTCAAGCAGGTCATCCTGCCAATTCTAGTCATTTGGAAACAGTTTCTATGGCCTTCAATGCAGAGTACCTCTTACAGCATCTCCGACATATGAAGAAAATAGAGTTTGCACACCTGGTCTAGAGTGATATGACTGTGTCAGAATATACTCAAAAGTTCCTAGAGTTGGGCTAGTTTTCCCCTAAGAGCATGATGGATGAAGGCAGAAATGTAAAAAAGTTCGAGTGGGGCCTCTGTCATGAGATTAGATAGCAGCTGTATTTGTTCGAGCTCAGTACTTACTCAATCATTCTTGCAAAGACACAACTAGTGGAGAGGAACCTTTGCATCTTGCCTCCAGCAGTAGGGAACCTCAGCCCCCGGTTTCACACCACAGACCAGCACCCATTGCACCTATTTAACAGAAGAAGAGACCTAGCTAGTGACTCAGTTCCTCATATATTCTGGCAACAAGATAGTGGTAGTACTTGTCAGCACTGTGGCAAAGATCATAGGAACCGACCATGTTATCGCTTCAATAATACTTGTCGTATATGTAGGAGTGTCCAGCATTACGTGAGAGAGTGCTCGAATAATCAGAATCAAGTCAGACCTCTTATATAGGGCAGAGCTTACAACCTCACTCAGCAGGATGCAGAGGTAAACCCAAATGTGATACATGGTACATACATTGCCTGTAATCATCTTACACATGTTTTGATTGATACTGGTATCTCACATTCATTTGTCTCACATGTTTCTATACTAAACTTAAATGTATTACCTGAAAGACTTGATTCTGTGTTGTTTGTGTCTATGCCTAAGAGTAGGACACTACTAGGGGATATTATATACAGAGCTTGTATCATAAATATAATAGATAAAAAATTGAGTGTGGACCTAATAGAGATTGACGCAGGGGACTTTGATGTAATTCTAGGAATGAACTGGCCAGCAACGTATCATACCACCGTAGATTATTTTCACAAAAGACTTATATTTAACCCTTCTAATGAAGAGTCATTTACAAATTAATAAAATTCTTTAAACATTATTCCCTCATGGCAATTTTCCTATTAACAAATGTTTTAACTCGGCTGTTTTTTTTAAGTAGGTAAACCTAAGAAAAAAATTTGCATTCGAGAGATTATAGTAGTCTGAGACTTTTCAGATATATTTTCGGATGAACTACCTGGACTGTTAGTAGACAGAGAAGTTGAATTCACTATAGATTTTTAGCCGAGCATCCAGCCTATCTCGATTGTCCCTTACTGCATGAGTCATGTCGAGATGGAAGAGTTGAGGAAACAGATTAATGAATTGCAGGATAGTGGATTCATCTGACATTATGTGTCACATTCGGATGCTGGAGTCACATTTGTAAGGAAGGGGGATGGGACGTTAAAGTTATGTATTGACTACAGAGGACTGAACAAGATTACGATCAAGAACAAGTACCCCCTCCCCAGGATCAATGGCTTTTTTGATCAGTTGCAGAGTACCCAGACATTCTCCAAAATAGACCTATGTTTAGGTTACCATCAGGTAAAGATCAAGGCAAAAGACATTCCCAAAACAGCTTTCCGAACCAAGTACGAATATTATGAGTTCCTGGTCACACCATTTGAACTAACCAATGCACCAGTCATCTTCATGGATTTGATGAACAGAATTTTCAGATAATTCCTAGATCAGTTTATCATTGTATTTATCGATGATATCCTGTTCTATTCAAAAAGTAGAGAGGAACACGCCCACCATCTGACTCAGGTTTTGCAAATTCTTAGAGAAAAGAACTTATATGCAAAGTTGAGTAAGTGTGGGTTTTGTTTCGAGCAGACTACTTTCTTAGGGCACATCATATCAAGGGTGGAGTATCAGTGAACCCCGAAAAAGTTGAGGTAGTGCTTAGTTAGGAGAAATTGACCTCGATCAAGGAGATTCATAGCTTTCTAGGGATGCAGGTTTGTAGAAGGATTTTCTAGTCTAACTGCTCATTTAACTCGATTCACAAAGAAGGACATCAAGTTTGAGTGGAACGAGAACTGTGAAAGGAGTTTTTCAGAACTAAAGAAGCTGTTGACTACTACACTTGTGTTGGCCTTGCATAGTGAAACAGGTGAATACACAGTTTATAATAATACCCCATACCTGGGGTTAGGTTGTGTTCTGATGCAGCATGGGAAAGTTATAACCTATGGGTCCAGGCAGTTGAAGAGTCATGAGAAAAATTATCCCACCCATGACTTAGAACTTACTGCAATTATCCATGCCTTGATGACTTAGCGCCATTACATGTATGGGGAGACTTTTCATATCTATATCGACTATAAGAGCTTGAAACACATATTCACTCAAAAGGATCTCAACATATGTCAGAGATGATGAATAGAACTCCTCAAGGACTACGATTGTAACATCTTGTATCACTTGGGCAAGGGCAACGTGGTAGCCAATACACTCAGTAGAAAAAGTGTAGGTATATTAGCTAACCTAATGGCTTCAAAATGCAAGGTAATAGGAACCGCGCAACAGGTACGACTTCAAGACCTGAAGAGAGTTACATGTTTGGCTCACCTGACTGTTCAACCTAAGCTGATCTAGAGAATAAAGGAAACTCAATCCGCCGATTCCACAATAGCAGCCCTTAGAAAAGATGCATAACATGGAGTAAATTTAGAATTTTGAGTCTCTATCGAAACTGCGAGCAAAGCCCGGTGGCACCGTCGTGGGCGAAATTCGAAACCACCTCCGATGAGCCCCTTTTCGTTTTCTATTTCGTGCGATTTTTCTACCATTGTATTCACCATTCTGTTTTCTAGAAGTTAACCAAAGAAAACACCCAGCCGTGAAAATGAGCCGACAGAGCCGCCACACCTAAAAATTCTGCCGTCGGTGGGTTTTCATTTTTTAACTTTTTTTGGCCAACCAATGCCTCCTAACGTGTTTTTTTTTTCACAGGGATGGATATAAAACCAGCTGAAATCGGTCAAAACTGGTCGAAAACGGCCAGGCCTAGGCAAATCGCAGCTGTGGGCAGCGGTGCCGTTGTCGGAGCACGGCGGTGTCGCCGTGCCGGAATTTCAAAATCGGTCGACAAAAGTTTTTAACACCGATTTTGAATTTTTTAGGATATTTTTAGGTACGTGAAGCGTGTTTTAATCTCCGCAGAAAAATTCAAGAAACTTGGGTACTAATAGTAGACGCAGTAGAAAATTTAGTATTTAAGACACCAATTTGGGTAAGAATCTCTCACTTTATTCCCTATTATAGAATTGAAACTTAATAATTGGTAATATGGTATTTTGTATAATTTAAAAATTTTTGAGAATAATTACAGGTTACCAATGGAGTCGGAAATCGGTTAGTCATTTTTTGTTGTTCTGTTTAACTGATGGTTGAATTTACAGCTTTAAATACATGATGATATACTGGAATGATTAATTAATTCAATTGTGCTTCCTTGATATATATTGCTTGTCTTGCGTGATTTACGGTTAATTTGTGAAATTAATAATTAATGTGCAAACGAAAAATTGATTGGTCGTGTGAATTAATGAATGGTAGCCTCACTGGATATCCGAAGAGATGGTGGACGGACCAGATACATAGAAAATCCTACCGTGAACATTGCCTCATACTGGACGGGGTATCGAGGATTGGTATTTTTGGCGCTCATATTGGACGGGATATGAAGACGACCCGATTCACCCTCATATCGGATGGAGTATTGAGGGATGATATTTTTAGCGCTCATATCGCACAGGGTATGAGAATGACCGATTAGTTAACAATATTGAATATTGGTTCACGTGTAGTGGGACATTCTTATGGGCTCCAGAGATACCAATAGGCAAATAAAAAGGAAAAGTGGTTGCTATTGCTCACTTGAAAATAAAATTGAAATATTATTTGAATTATTGTATCTCTATAGGTCGATTTTAGAAATCTCGCAACAGTAAATATATGCAATAAATGGTTTTTTCTTATGATAAATGAATTTACTTAAATCAAAAGCTCCATTAGTTATTTTTATAATTTTTACCAACTTTCAGTTTCTGTATCGGTGAGTAGTGTGATATTTTTACTGAGATAGTGTAGCTCACCTTTTCATTAACTATTTCAGATCAAGAGGACCAAGATCCAGATCCCGATCAACAAGAGGGTTATGAATTGTTCACCACTCTGACTCTCTTCAAAGGCGAGTGAAGGTCATTCTAGAATACTCAGTTATTAGTTTTTTTATTTATTTCCTTAATTTTCATAATTTCTTTTAGAAAGACCATTCTCGTAGTCCTATTGAGCATTCTAAATTATTGTGTAAAGGAATGTAAACTCTAAATTATATTATTTTGCTTTCGCATTTAATTCATGACTTTATTTCCTTTTAAGTTAATAAGCTGAAACTTCTCATGAGTTTTTTGCTGTGAAGCAAAACCTG